GTTTGTGTTTTCCATAGTTTGCTATCACGTTTTCCATAAATAACTTATTCATTACACATATGTGTGTCTCTAAAAGAAATAAATGCCCCATAAAAATTAAAACACATAACTTTTGCTGTTCGCAAACAGTACGCATAATTTCCAATAGCGACGGCGACAAGACATTGACCAATCACGTTGCGTGTTTCCTGCTGGCGTTGATTTGTACTGTGGGCAAAATGGCGTGAATAGAATTACCATACTATTCTCTTTATAAGATTGCGTGAATAGGGTGCCGTAAATAGAGTGGGGTGGAATGATAGTACGCCATTTGGTAGCACAACCTTTATAAGATTGGGCCCGGGAAAGCCTTTGACGATTTGGATAAATGTTTCGTCCTTCGTTAACATCCCTTCGTCGTTCACCAAATCATCCCTATGCTAATTTCGGCATTCCTCATAACATTTCGTCAAAACTTAAAACAGATCGCCCCTTTACAGAGAAGTATAAATATGACCGCTTTTACACAGTGCAGTGCGAGGGATAGGTGTCGAAACTCGTAGGTCATCTATCCACATACAAATCGGTAGTCGTTCATCAGCGCCATAGGTGCAATGTACATGCTCGTAGCTGACATGTTATCGGCTGATTAAAAATGAACAGGCAACAGAGCGTTTGATAGGTCAACTCCGCCTCAAACACCAAGGTGTCCGGCCGGCCGGGCCCGGCTCGCCATCTGTCAGCCTTCCCTCGCGAGTCCGACCGGCGCGGCCGCCCGAGGCGTTGTCCCATGACATCGCTCGGGCAGTGACGCGATAATGACAGCCGGCTTCGTGATTTGTGTCGAAGCGCTTAGGAGTCCGACACTCGACCGCACACTGGGCCGATCGCCAGGTCTAGCACGACATGGGTAAAAAAATCGAACGTTGTGGATGTGCAATGAAACCTATACCAATTTGTTCAAAAATGATCATATTACATTGCTGTGGTCTTTGTTTTCCAACACAATTGCTATTTCATGGCGAAAACTCAGCTTAACCCGCGCCCCACTGGGGGGGGGGGCTATTTATAGCCCCCCTCCCGTTTTTCTGCAATAACTTCCAAACCGCTTGACGTATCGACGCCAAACTTTCAGTACCTTAGGCTGCATCAATTTGACACCTTGTGTCAAAATTTGAACTTCGTACCTACTATAGGTCGGCCGGAAATGACGTCAGAGTGACGTCATGTTCGGCCGATTTCGACGCAAAACATTGAACCACGGCAATCGCTCCCAAGAGCTCAGTTTTTAAGCTAGATCCAATTTCTTTGCATGAGAGGACTCAGAATAGACCGCGCTATCAAACTGCTATCTCGGATTTTCGAAATTTTGAAAATTTCGAAAATTTTATATAATAATATCCAAAATTTATATTTTCACATTTTTTTCAAAAAGTTTCTGACTTTTCGAAAAAACCGGAATATATGTGATAGAACGCATTATTATGACTAACTCTAGCAAGTTTTAGCTAAATATCTTCAAAAATGGCCAAGTTTTACGCATTATTGCAAAAAATTCACAATTATTAATTTTTCAAATCAATTTTTCAGCACGTATTTGACATTGTACGCCAATATAAATAGCACCATCGTGTTCCTGAGCTCAAACTGCATCCAATAGACACCTTTTTTCTTAAAAAAAATTTTAACTTCAAAATTTGACCTTTTTTGACCTGAAAGTGACCTAACATAAGCTAAATTCGACTCAAAATGACCTCGAATAACACAGACGACATCAAATTCGAAATCTCTGACCTAAATGGACCATAAAACATGTGTCACGTGACCGACGCATGATATAATATTTTCGTGACCTGTGATGACCTGACCTTGACCTGAAAATCAAAGTACAAGTTTGGTACCCTCAGGGTAACTAGAGCATCTGTTCCCGAGTGTGTGATCCAAAAATGAGCCTGGTCTGACTTGTAAGACGGCGGCCAGAGCCCAAAACGTGATCAAGCCAAAATGCTAATAATTTTTACTTTGACCTGACCTGTGACGTCATCGGTGACCTCGAGGTCAATGAAATTAGGTTTTGCTCGACAGTTTTTCCGGGGCTATCAGACGCCGTTTGAATTTTGACAATCGGCCCAGTAGTTTCGGAGTTAGGAGGGGGGGGGCTATGAATAGCCCCCCCCCCCCAGTAGGGCGTGTTATACGCAGACCCCAGTGGGGCGCGGGTTAAACACGAACTTCGGAATCGTTTGGACCGAACTCGTCCCCCGCACTCTTCGACAACGTATCTTTGATCCACGAAAACAATCACAATTTGAGGAGGAATCCCACATTAATATACATCAAACGATAGCTCCGGGTCTGCAGACAACACATATCCACATGAAAAAGGCGAACCCTTAATTGGTTATGATGTATTTGCACCGCAAAGATTTAAAGACGAAAATATAATTTCACATCATTGATGTCACACACAAATAGACTTTTAAAAAAGTACCGCAAAGTACCGCTTCAAAAATCTCGCTACATGTCAATGAGTCATTGTACTACAAGATCCAACATTCATTTCTTGCGACTTTTTGCGACTTTGGATGTCAGCAGCCAAACTTCAACCCGCGCCGGACCGGTGCTTGGCGTCAAACGCGCCGGGCCGGGAGGTGTTGATTGAACACTCCCCTTCTAACTCGGCTCCTGGGCCACATAGCGACACGTAGAAAGTGACTTTCGAAAGAGCGCCCAAAATTCCAGATAGAGTAATTAGTCATTTCTGGGACAGGTCAAAGGTCACGTCACCAGAGGTCATTAAAGGTAAAATGTTGCATATATCAACATTTCTCGAAACACCGCCCCTTACCTCGGGGACCAATAGAGCTACATCGTCGCGGAAAAGTGCATTCAATTACTCTTTTAGCGGTCTTTCTGAAATAAGCCGTCAGATTTGGCTTAACCCTCGCCCCTAGTGGTGTTTTTCCAGCCGCGAACGTATAGAAGGGGTCCGTTGGACCCCCCCCCCCTGCCGTTTCGCCCCTGATCGAGCTCGAGCTTTGCGGGAAAGACGAGCGTGTTGCCCGTGACAAGAGGAAGCTGATGATACCCAATTGTAAGGTCCTAGGTCATCGGTTGACCTTCCAGGTCAGGTCAATGACCCACAAGTCGGGAAAATCGGGACCTGTCAGAACGTCGTAAATGGTGGCTGCTATGGGTTTTTTGGGTGCTGATCACGAATATAATGTTATTTATGATCATAGATGGTCTTCATACATTTAGGCCAGGTCGGGTCAGGTCAGGTCAGTTCAACTAGTAAGGGTTTTGCCGCGTATTTGTAGTAGGTGGCAACCGCCTCTGACAGCTCCGTAACATGTTACCAAGGCACCAAAGCAACATAGTAAATGTTCAAATGGTTTCTAGATTCGAATTCAGCTCCAAAAACTAGCCTAGAAGCATGTAAAACTCGAAAAAATGAACCAAGGTCATCAAAGGTCAATGACCTTACCTGACCTTCCGGTGACCTTGACACCCACCCTTATGCATGGGAGCAACATAATATCTCATGCTTGAGCGCTTTAAACCACGAAAAGACTGCAAACTCGCGGCTAATGCGAGCCGACATACGCTGAATCGCGATTCCGGCCAAACATGGTCTCAAAAGAAGGTCACAAGGTCAAAGATCATTAAGGTCAGTGTCATAAAATTTTCAGGTTAGCTGTGAAATTAATTATCGCGAGAGTACTGAAAGTTTCGTTGCAATCGGCCGCTTTTTACACAAATTACTCGCGAAAAACCGAGGGTTCCGTTCGAAGATTCAGGTCCTGTCGCGCTAGAATGGCGTATCGGCCCACTGTGGACCGTCTATATGCCTACTCGATATTGCGCCGGCAGTCTCCTCGTAGCTGGGGCATTCCACGATAGATCATACCAGGCCCGTCACCCTCATCTCTCAGATTTTAATGAAAATCGGTTCTAGGGGTAATCATAGGCCCCAAAGACGCCTGGCAAAATATCAGATTTCTCAGATCAAAACTTTTTGAGTTATATTGCATTACATTTTTTAAAACTTCGGTTTGTAACGGTGAGTTTGGTGGCCTATAACTCAAGAACGGGTTAAGCAACCAACAAACGGTAAACAACACTAAGCTTGCGATGAATCAAAAATTAATATTGCTTTTTAAAAATTCCAAAGAAGAATTTTCATTGTTGAACAAAAACCTTAACCTTTTTTCATTTGCCTCTGATGACTTTTGGGACCAAAATTTTTTCACATTTTCATTTTATCAAAATAAACTTCATGTCATTGCAAATCGACATGCAAAAAATTAGAAAGGTGTACTTTCTGTAAGTTCCTCAATTTCCCGCAAACAAAATGGGTTTCGGAGGGGTTGATACGACCCCAGCACGCCGTTCGCTTCTAATAGAGCTAGAGCCTCGCGGAAAAAAAAACGAGCGTGTGTGCGAGAGATGATGTTTTTCGTACTCCAGCGTAGATGGGTAGCCATTCGAAGATGACTGATGTCATCACTGTCAACCGTGGCAGCCGAATGGCTACCCATCTACGCTGGAGTACGAAAAACATCATCTCACGCTCTCAGTCCCAGCGGATAAAAACAACACCTAAGAATGAGCGTGTGTGCCGTTACAAGTCGCAGCGATTGGTACCCGATTTTAAGGTCTCAGGTTAACCGGTAGCGTCTGAGGTCAGGTCAAGTGACTGAAGTTACGGGTTCGGTTTTTAGTAAATAACTTCGCAAAAAATGGCCGCAGAGCCGCGATATTAGCATCATTGTGTTCACCCAGCTCAGGTGCGTCAATTGGTATACCTACTTTTTGTTAGACTGAGGTCAACTTAACCCGGCACCGCCTGGGCTATTTCCATCGAACAACGCAAAAAGGTGTACTAGCATTTGCGTCGTTTGGCCGATTGCATACTGTTGTGACCGAAATGCTAGCCGACGAGCGAACTGCGCGTCTTTGCCGAGAGAAGTGGGCCGGTGCCCAGCAGCTGACTGGCCGGCCAGTCAGCCCCCGCCTACCGTGCGGCGTGAAGTCGGGCGTGAAGAAGACGCTGCGGGTCAGCTTGGTGTCGTCGCTGATGACGCGCAGGTCCAGTCTGAACAGCTGGCTGTCGATTTCCACCTCCTCCTCGTCCAGCTGCAACTGATGGGCCGGCAGTGCAGAAGGTCATACTCTGGGGACTGCACTGGCTGGTGACAGTGCTCGGTGATGTCTGCCGCCGTTCGAGGTCATTCAGCACTGGCTGCACTGGCTACTGCTGCCCGTATGGAGTAGAGGCGCTACTCCGTACTGTCACCACCGTTCGAGGTCACACCCAGGGAAATGCGCTGGCACCCACAGCCTATGCCAATTCGAGAACATAAATCTGCTTGTGTGTTGTTATTTAAAGGGACTATCCCACCTTTATATAAGGTTTGAGTTGAGATAGCCAAGTTTGCGGCGAGGTCCAGAAACCACTATCTATCTTGGTTGCAACCCCCGCGGCCTCGTGGTGTTGAAGAAATTCGTTCCCTTCATTTGAAAATGAGCCCTGCGCAAGGCCCAATCTCTTAACCATTAACGGTAATCTGATGACGTCATTTGCCTTTTGAACGCTGTTCAAGTGAAGTATCACTTGATTTACGAATAAGCCAATCAGAGACACTTTTGTTATTGTATGATCCGAGTCATATTTGAGAGCAAATACCTATATTTGCTGCCAAATTTCCCCCACACTGACATGAAGTAAATCCTTCATTACGTCACAGATCCGATCTAAATGACGTCACGATGAAATATAAAAGTCGCAATATCTCAAAAAGTATACGATGAAAACGCGTAAAAACTTGCAGAATTCGTCACAATATCATGAGTAACATTTCCGAATCCTAAACGGGACTTTTTTGAAGGTGGGATAGTCCCTTTAACACCAAGTCACGTAGGAGCCTACACAAGCCGACAGTAGCGTCTCGTGGAAGTGTGCAAGAACGGAAAACAAATATAGAGTCCGATCATCTGGGGGCAGATCAGACTACGAGGTTGGGTTTCGGGTGAACGGACTGTGGAGCTGATTGGCTGGGACTACAAGGCACCAGAGCGTGCTGCTCTAGCGCACGTACCCTAAATAGTTGCGTCAGCCGGTCGGCGGCGCCCTCGGAGCCCACCAGCACGGCGTTGAGCGGGTGCACGGCCGAGTCGCCACCGGCGAACACCCAGTGGGTGCCGGCCACGGCGGGCGCCGCCGGCGCGGCCCGGTCGGCCAGCAGCGCCCACACCTGCAGCTCCATACACAGCTGGGCCGACGGGCACCGCTCCGGCCGCGGACGGTGCAGGAAACCCAGATGCTGCAGCAGCACCAGCTGACGCTCCTGCTCGAAACGGTCCAACAGTTTGTACCTGGGAGAGGCGGGGGCTGGTCAGCGACGGCCGCAGAGCTCTCGTACAAACGTACCGTCAACTGGTCACTGGCCGACCACCGGTCTCACAGACCACAGCGAGGCGCAGCCACTGCTTCCGGCAACTGACCTGACGTCCTCCTGCAGCAGTTCGGTGATGTCCTTGATCTGGTCGGGGCTGAGCGCACCGCCGCCAGATGCCGGGCAGATGCCGTAAAACAGGTCGGCCCGCTCCAGCAGCAGCTCCTGACAACAGCAGCCCGGACACGGCGGCAAATCAGCCACACAACCCTAGATGCGGCACGCGCAGGATGGCCTAAAGGACGTATGGCAGGATGAGACGTGACTTGCGAGATGATAGTGCGAGGGTGAGATGAGATCCAGCAGCGCGCGGCACTGCTTTATACAGAACACTGGCACTGGGATTCTAAGAGAAACGCAATTGCCGCTACCAGAATCAGTTGCCAACTCGACACCAGCCCCATCAGACCAGCCGCGCGACAAACAGCGCGCCTGCCAGTGGTCCGGCCCCCCGCCACCAGTTGCCGGCCAGACCAGAACCAGTTCCCAACTCGACAACAGCCCCATCAGACCAGCCGCGCGACAAACAGCGCGCCTGCCAGTGGTCCGGCCCGCCACCAGTTGCCGGCCAGACCAGAACCAGTTGCCAACTCGACACCAGCCCCATCAGACCAGCCGCGCGACAAACAGCGCGCCTGCCAGTGGTCCGGCCCCCGCCACCAGTTGCCGGCCAGACCAGAACCAGTTCCCAACTCGACCAGCCCCATCAGACCAGCCGCGCGACAAACAGCGCGCCTGCCAGTGGTCCGGCCCCCCGCCACCAGTTGCCGGCCATTGGGGGAGGGGGGGGGGCATCCGGTTGAGTCCGGTCCGGCTCGCCGGCGCACCCACCTGGAAGTTAACACGGGCCTTTTCCACGATGTGCCGCTGGTGGAGGTCGTAGATCTCCTGACGCTCCTCCTCTGCCAAACTCTCGAAGCACTCGCGGCCCAGAAAGAGCACGCGAACTTCGGACAGCGACTTGCCCGGTGTGACGTAGCTAGTCTCCTCCAGCAGCTGTTTGAACTGGCGACGTAGCCTGCCGGCGTCAGCTGGGTAAGAGGGATAGCACTGGTCCATAGGCTCATAGGCTTAACACTAGCTAGAGAGTTCTAGAGACATTGGTGATACCAGTCTAAGCGCGCAGGGCACCAGCCTAAGCATGCAATGAGACTTCGACATTACGTAGCGAAAAAAAAAAAAGATACATTTTTCTCTCTATTTTTAAAAGTTGGAAGCACGTAACGGCAGGCCGCCCGGAACAGTTGTCGTGCGACCGTTAACCTTCCAGGCGGTGGAGGGGGGGGATTCCCCCCCTTTAGTTTTTTCGATATATCTCCAGAACCGCTACGCCGATCGTCACCAAACTTTCAGAACCCCCCTCCCGTGAATAGCTTCTACATATCGTGACCAAAAAATTCCAAAGGCTATGATAGGTTGAACGCTAATGACATCGGAGTGACGTCATTTCTGCCATTTTCGACCCGAAAAAAGGTTTCGCGGGAAGAGCTGAGGCCTACAGCTTTAGAGATACAGAAAAATGTTTCAGATATAACCAGTATAACGCCTTTTGGGGCGATTACCTAACGGAGCGAGCGAGAGGGTGAGCCTTGCACGTGCGAAATTTCGAGGGGGTACCTCCAGCTGACTTGTGCACGGCACCCTACTAACCGGTCTCTAGCGATGTGCCAAATTTGAGCACAATCGGTCCAGCCGTTCTCGAGATCTGGAATCGACCCCTGCACGTGCGCACGTGCAGCAGCACCCCAACTCTGGCACATGGATATGCATTGCCTAGTGAGTGCCTACCTACATGCCAACTTTCAGCGCAATCGGCCCAGTAGTTACCGAGATATTGCAACAATTACAAAAGTGACACCTCTTCGTTTTGCACGTGGCACGTGCATAAGGGGTCACCTACATGTATCGGGAATAGTCCAATACTTGGTAGAAGGAATGAAGCTACCCTACAAAAATTACCGCGTGTAAATCGGTCAAGTGGTTGCTGAGATATAAGCCTCGCAAAAGCGTGACCACGGCCGGCCGGCCGGCCGGCCGGCCGGCCGGCCGCTCATACTCAGAAATTTCCGTTAATCTAAGGAAAGACTACGCTCCCTTCGCTCGCTCCGTAAAAAGGTGTAGAACCAGTATAACGCCTTTTGGGGCGACTAACGGAGCGAGCGAGAGGGTGAGCCTTGCACGTGTGAAATTTGGACGAGGTACCTCCAGCTGACTTGTGCACGGCACCCTACTAACCGGTCTCTAGCGATGTGCCAAATTTGAGCACAATCGGCCCAGCCGTTCTCGAGATCTGGAAGCGGCACCCTGCACGTGCGCACGTGTAAAATGGGTCCCAACTTAGTTTTGCACGGCACCCTACTAACCGGTCCCTAACTGTGTACCAAATTTGAGCGCAATCGGTCGAGCCGTTCTCGAGATCTGGAAACGACCCCTGCACGTGCGCACGTGCAGCAGCACCCCAACTCTGGCACATGTATATGCAGTGCCTAGTGGGTGCCTACCTACATGCCAACTTTCAGCGCAATCGGCCAAGTAGTTACCGAGATATTGCAACAATTACAAAATTGACACTTCTTCGTTTTGCACGTGACACGTGCATAAGGGGTCACCCACATGTATCGGGAATAGTCCAATACTTGGTAGAAGGAATGAAGCTACCCTACAAAAATTACCGCGTGTAAATCGGTCAAGTGGTTGCTGAGATATAAGCCTCGCAAAAGCGTGACCACGGCCGGCCGGCCGGCCGGCCGGCCGGCCGCTCATACTCAGAAATTTCCGTTAATCTAAGGAAAGACTACGCTCGCTTCGCTCGCTCCGTAATTAACAGGGCTACAAAAGTGCTATCTCAGAGTTTTAAAATTTTTGGATTTTGACCCTCAAAAAATAAAAAAATGAAGATAAAAGCCAGAAAATCCAAAAAGTTATTTGAATTTCGAAAAACGGAACATATGTGATAGTCCCTACCGCCTTCTATAGACATACCAAATTTGAGATCGACACCTCTTTTTGGCCAAGTTATAGCGAAAAAAAAAACTGTTCAAAATTGATGACGTCAAATTTTCTAACTCATTTTTTAGCAATTCTAGACCACGTAGCGCAAAACAAAGACCACCATTAGACTCCCCGTGACGAGCTGCGTGGATTCAATACCGTAAAATGGGGCTATTTGAAACGGATTTTACAGTTTTTGGCCTCTCCCTTTAAGACGGTTCATATTGCCAAAAAATGCCTAAATGCATAGACATCACCTGTGATCAAAACTAGCATGATATCCGTGGTCAGCACCCCGAAAGAGCTCATCGCAGCCACACTTTACGACGTTCTAACAAGTCCCGATTTCCCAACTTTTGGGTCATTGACCTGACCTGGAACTTGGAAGGTCAACCGATGACCTAGGACCTTAAAATTGGGTGTCATCGGCTTCCCCTCGTCATGGGCAACAAACTCGTTTTTTACGCGAAGCTCTAGCTCGATCAGGGGCCAAACGCGAGGGGGTCGTACACACACCCTTGTGCCCAATTGCCGTCGAAGGACGCAAAATGGCCTGTGCCGGCGAGCGTTAATTCTGCATCTTTTTATGCATATTTGCAGCCCAACGTCTTCCAACGCACAATGGATTGTTTCAGGCAAGATGAAACATCTCTATTATGAACTTCAATAACATGATATGGATTTTAATAGAACCGTCCGGAGTCGGAGTTGGAGTCGGAGTAGATTTTTGAAGCCGGAGTCGGGGTCACCCTAAAATCCATCGACTCTGCAGCCCTGCACGAAACTATCCATTCCGGCACTGCCCCAAAGCCGACTGCTCTGGGTCCAGCCTCATGTTGAGCATTGCCAGAAGGCGTCGTGCGGCGAGGCCGTCGGCGGCACGGTGCCGGGCGAGGTTTTCCGGTGACCCAGTGCGGCTTCATCCCCCCACCCCCCACAACCATCTCTATCTAGTGGTGGTACTTACTCCTGCTGACGCGTCTCCTGCTGGATGGCGTTCAGGTAGTTTTTGAAGGCGGTCTCGGCCTCACTGCTGGTGAGCACCTCGAACGGAATACGCGCATCCGCCAGCTCGTCCAGGTCCAGGTCCAGCCAGGCGAGGTCTTCGTGCGCGGCCACAAAGTGCCGCTCGAAGTCGGGGTGCCGGCGCACGCTCTGCTGCACCTCCTGCCACGAGCAGGTGAGCAGCGCGCGCTGATCGGCGAACAGCTCGCGCAGCACGTCCGGCAGCTCGGACAGATAGCGTTGCACGCGGCGTGACACGTGCTCCTCGCGCAGCCGCTTCACGTATCGCCGAAAGAGCCGGTGCGCCGCCTCCTGGCCGTGTAGCTCAGTGAACTCAGCGAACGCCGGCGCCCCGCGCAGCCGCTGCACGGTGGCCGGCCAGGTGGCGCGCCAGTCCGTGACGTGCGTGCGCACCAGCGACTGAAACGCGTCGGCCATCAGGTCGGCGTCGTCCCGACGCTGGCGCGCCGCCTCTGGGTAAGGCACAATGCGCACCCGGCCGCGGCCGCGATCGATCAGCTGCGCCAGCGTGATGAACGCTAGGTCGACGTTGACGCCCTGGTGGGCAGACGTCTCCACCAGCGGAATGTTGCCCTTGAACTCCTTCCGGCTGGCGAGCCGTTCGGCCTCGCGGAGGTGCGACTCGCGCGCCTCGTCGTTCTTGGTCGTGACGAGAACCACTGGTTTCTTGGTGCGCAGCAGGCTGCCGAGGATCTGTGGGCGGACAAGCTGCCTTCAGACATACTCCGACCGTACCAGCCAGCGCCACGACGGCACATGAGCGGCACCGCTCAGCATCCACCAAATACAAGGTTCGGCAACAGTTCTGTCCTTTACTTATGACAACACTTGCCCTGTTCCTAATCGTTTCTACCCCTAAGGGATAACGGTTCTGACTGCACCCTGCATTGCACGGTCCCTGGCACCGGGACATGAGGTCGCGAACGGATCTCGGGTCATGGTCACCGAGCTACAGCCAGTTTCACACAACTCGTCCACACGAACGGCCGTGTCGCAAAACGAAGGCAAGAAATGTATATCCTGCAGAACTGAACCAGACAGTCAGCATGCTCCAGGACGAAATGACACAGCGCGCCATTGCTGATCATTGTTGGGGCTTAAACTCTCGACAACAAATAGAACTACAGGAACGCGAAAAATGACATCCGATAGCTCTTTTAAAGGGACCCTCCCACCTTAAAAAAGTTAATGAATTGGCTTGAAAGTGATGTCGCTCGGTTCAAAAATAGCGAAAACGAATATCTACCAAATTTGATCGAAAAATATTCACCAGTTTTCAAGATATTAGTAGACTTTTAATTCTGTTTACTTTTTGGGATATCCGCTGTTCCTAGCGACTTTATTTGAAAGTGCGGCACTTGTCGCGCGCAAAGCAGCATATACCACTGCGTGCTACCAAACGTTTTAGTAAGAAAAAAATCGTTAGACCTGCGCTGACGTCACACATTCAGAGGGGGCATTCTAATGCAATAGCCCCTCTGAATCCAAGTGCTGCAACTTTGAAATTAGATATTTTCGATTTGAGGCATTTCTCGATCTCGTGAGTGCTCAAACCGGTAAGTGCGAGACAGGGACCCCATTTTGGCTATCTCAAATAAAAACTTATGTTAAGGTGGGATGGTCACTTTAACCCTCGCCGGCCGAGGAGGGGGGGGGGGAGGGCGGCACCCCATAGGATTTTTCGCAATAGCTCCGAACACGCCGGTGATAGAGCGCTGAAACTTGGCATACCTGACCTTTTATCTAAGCCGCATCTTGTGACACCAACCGCATTTTCAGGTAAGGTCAGGTCACTGACCAATGACGTTACATGTGAACCTCTGCACGGTCCTCAGATGTCGCAACTTCGCAACGCCCTCAGTGCCACAGGAAGTTTCACAGGGAGATGAAACTTATAGGATGTCGTATCCTCCAGAGGTCTCACAGCTTGTGTATCTCAGATTTTTCCTTAAGGTCACACGAGGTCAGGTCGGTTACGTGACCTCACCATTATAAGTCAATGGGGGAAAATAAAAACTGCTATTTTAGTGCAGGGAGCAATCTCAAACTATCTCAAGAACCAGGGTTGGCAAAATGCCGGCATAAACGTTAAACGTAGTTTATGCCAGTCAGTGAAAAAAACTAGTTTATGCCGGCACAAATTGGCAACAACTGACATGAAATGTCAAAACCCCTCATTTAAGCATTATTACAGATTACCGTAAACGGGGGTGACATTGCCTTGCCGGGTGACTTTGCCATGCTTCTCAAAAAAGCCCTTAGGGAGATCTCCAGTGATATTTTACGAAGAATGTACCGTAAAGTGGGGCTATTTGAAACGGATTTTATAGTTTTTGGCCTCTCCCTTTAACCCTCGCCCTGGCAGGGCATTTTTCATAACACGGCCTGGCAGGGGGGGGGGGTCGATGCGACCCCCCCCTCGCGATTGGCTCCTATGGCACCTAGAAACACCAAATTTGGTAGGTAGGTGGGCACCCTGGAGTTCTCGCCCCTAGCAGTAGAGTTATAGACATTTAAAAAATTGATGTGTGGCATTTTTGGCTATATTCCATGACCTATATCTCAGCGATACGTTATCAAATTTTGAAAATATTATACGTAACTCAGTTTTGAACTATGCCCAGTCTGTCTACAAATTTTCAGAAAAATCGGAGGGGATGACGGATTTCGGTGTTTGATTTGACGTGGAATGCCCCATACCTGTTCCACTGTGTTTTACATGGTAGACAATTTATTGAATTTAATAGGTATGGGACAAAAAATGCTTGTATTATTTCGATTGAAATGTTATTTGACCTACTTTTTTAAATATGCTATTGGTTTGAAAAAGTAACCAAAAAGTCTGTCCCTATCTGATTGAGATAGTGCTGTCTGGGCTGGAGCTATGGACCTCTGTGGGGGGGGGGGGAGCGGGCTCACCTGAACCGTGAGCTCCACCTGCCGGGAAAGCGGCCGGCCGGCCACCTCGCTCACATCGAACACACAGAGAAAGCCATCCACCAGAAACCTGCCCGCACACGTACACACACTGTCAGCTGGGACATCACACAGTGGGGAATTCTCCCACTTAGCCGGACTATTCTTGGAATGAATGGATATGCTTTAACACGCGCGGTGGAAGGGTTGCGAGTACTACGCCCAGTGGAAGGGGGGCGGATGGCGCCCACCCCCTAAGATCTCAGCTCCCAGTGGAGCTAAGAAGACGAAATTTGGAGGGTAGGTGGGGACCCTGGAGAACTCTGTTGTGTGTGAATTTCATGACCCTAGGTCAATATCTTCAAGGTCAAATGAGGTCAAATGTGGTCAAATCTGTCATATGAGCAACTTTTTTGCGTTTCCACGCCGATAACTCAAAAAGTTACCGGCCGATTTTCTTTTTTCTTTCACTATACGAAAGAACATACATTTGTGAGTATGTATGGTGAATTTATAGTTAATCAAACAATAAATATGGCAGTTAGAAGCCTGCTAAGGGTAAGGTGTCGCCGGCTGAAGCGGGATCGGCCGACGCGGGAAAAGCGGCAATCACAATTTTGTGTTTACACACTCATAACTCAAGTTTTTACCGGCCAATTTTCAAAATTCTTTGACCATAAGATTTCCGGTACATTTTTTAGTCTTCTCACCAAATTTGACGATAATCGAATATAATCAGCGGTAAGGAGCGCGATGTAAAGACGGAACCGTCCCGCCCCGGCACAGTCTACAATTCAGGCGGCGCGTAACGGCTAGCGCCGGCCGCCGCGCCGCCGCAGCGGCAAGATGTTTGACACCGCTATTACTAGGAAAGTTGCGAGCCGATTTTCTTATTTCTTGCACGAGAAGATCCGCAATTCAATTCTGGACAGGTGACCAAAATTTCACATTAATATTATGTTTGCGGCGTGAGTTATTGGCGAAAAACAGGAGGGGTGGGCGAAATCCGCCCCCCCCCCTTCCACTGCGCGTGTTAAGCGCCTTCAAACGCTGGGTCAGAGTACCAGTAAAATACCAGTAAAATAAAGAAGTAAAATAAGCACATTTTAATACTAGGATCATTCCATTCGAACTCACCACTTAAGTGCGATTTTACACGGCACACTCTCACATTTGTATGACATTTTGACAAGGCGGTTTCTGGATAACCCAGACTCCGAATGGTTCTGCAACACCTGAGCGAGCGTCATTTGAGCGAACGACAGTTTAGCGAAGTAGTTATTTTCAGTGATTATCAATTTCAGCGATTGACTCTTGGAGCGATTGTCAATTTGGCGGATTCAATTACAGCGAGTATCAACTAAAACGAGGACCAGAATCAGCGAAGCTAGTTTAACCCTATTCCTGGCGGGCTCCGCCGGGACAAGAAACTGGCGGGGGGGCCGATTCGCCCCCCCCCCTGAGATCTCGGAAACTAATGGACGGATTTTGATCCAGTAAGCGGCATTAGATTGCTCGCAACGTGAACTACATTTTAGACATTTTTTTTAATATCAAAAACGAAAAAAAACCCTGAGACCCCCAAAAAGCCAAAATTTTCCGATTTGGCAGAGTTTTCAAAGACTGAGGTCTAGCTCAGTATCTAGGAAAGTCAGAGCAAAACGTAAAAAAGCAGCTGATAGCTGCGGAAATTTCCTTTCGAATAGCTGCCAACAGATTTCAGCTATTTTTGATATTTGAGGCGCTAGGAGTCAAAAATCTAAAAGCGTATTTTTTTAGTAACATCACTTTTGCGTCAATAACTTCTGAACCGTTAGTGATAGCCTGAAACGGTAAACGCCGTTGCAGTTCCCTAATAAATGCGAAACAAATGGTTTGTATTTTGACCTACTAAGGTCACTCTCAATTTTGACCTCAGGTCACGATTGACCTGACCTGAGCAAGTATAGGCGAGTAACATATCATTCGATACGTCATGACTAGGGAAACATGTTGTTATATAAAGAAGTGTTTTATCATATTTGTTTTACTTTTTATCATTATATGAAGACGCATAGATAACATGAATCTGGATTGGACACGAAATCAGCGTGATGCAGAATGGGGCCGAAATTTTTGGAATGGGGAATCGACTGTTTTTCTGTGAAAACCATCTCGTTTTGGCTACCACTTGAATGGCAATAACTTTGTTTCGACATTTTGATGTTTTTTGCTTAGGTATATTTCTTTAAAAATAAATCTAAAAACGAGTTTTATTTGAGCCGTATATTGCAACATTGACAAGTGGTTCATCGGCTATGCAATGGTCACAAGACGCTACAACGAGTGGAGAGAGGGCGAAATGAGCAGACAACATAAAACATAATGACTAATGAGCATCAGGTATTGACGAAGTGTCATTTCTAGTCTTCCTCAGGTAAATGATAGTAATTCGTATTCGTTTCGGGCTACACTGAGGTAAAAAATTGTTAAAAACCAAATATTTCGGCTTTATTGAGTAGCCTTGTTCACTGGTTTGAAATATGAAATACAAAAAGGCGATACAAATGTGATGACATGCGAAACAGGTTCGTGCTATCAATGATCTGTGACTTCCTTTTTTTACACTGTGCATACGATGAAACAACCATACAGTTCAAATCATCACACATCGTTATGACAGTCGTAATAAGATATTATACATCGTCTGATTCGTATCATCGTCGAAAGTCGGAATCGTATAAGCGCCAGACGGTCTCTTATAAAAATGCATTAAAACCTGTACTTTGGCTATCATGCAAAGACAAGAAAGAGTACCTAAATACTTTTGAGATGCAAAAAAAAAACAACTATGGTTCCCCATTTTCTCTATAAAACTAACACATGTCAACACAAAGCAACGTCCCAAATCGGGCTAATGGTAGCTTTGCCCACCCCCCTATTCATTGCTGACTTGTGTATCTTTATCTCTAGAGCTTCCCGAATCTTTCTTCTTTTCCAGTTCCGTTCAATGGCCAAGGTTGTAGCTTTTCGCGGGTCCAAATCTCTAGCACATGAGAAGGCGTGTTGTGCTGTAGCCGATGTGTCCGTGCGACCATGTCTTATTTATTGCGACCATGTTATTATGCGACCATGTCATATTTCAAACCAGTGAACAAGGCTACTCAATAAAGCCGAAATATTTGGTTTTTAACAATTTTTTACCTCAGTGTAGCCCGAAACGAATACGAATTACTAATGAGCATGTTCGCCTCACGCCTGAAAGGGTACGCTCGCCGTTTTCCGCCTCCTTCAGGCTGGGACACATCGAGTACGTGCATAGCAGCGCCGGGCAACGCAGGTGAACTTGAATCCTCCCGACAGACGGGACCGGGCGCTCCTCTGCAGTGGCGGTCGTTGCACTGCTCGCACTCCACCATTGACCGGTTCGGAGTTGGTGGACGTCCACCGCAGGAACCGTCCTGTCGCCGTCAGTGCTCGGGGTTACATGAGCAGAGTTAATACGCATTACAAACGGACTACAATGGTGAGCGAATAGGAAAATCCGTTCCTGATACGCATTTACTTGCTCATGTAACCCCGGTAAGTGATAGCTACTTGGTAGCAGTGATCCCATCAGCTGCGCCTTCCGACCAGTCATGCCTGGATGGTGCGGGCCCTCTTGTGCGGCTGCGTCTCCGTGGGCCGTCTAGAGGTCCACCGGGACTCGATTCTGGCCAACATCGCTCGTTTTCCTGGCAATAATATCGACATTGCACTCCAGGCCGCAGCGCGAGGGCACCCGCTGAGGTGGCTGGCTGACAGTCCTCGGAGAATCCTCCAGTTCAGCAGGGAGCCCTGGACGGCTGAGTTGTTGCGGAGAGAGGCGGCGAAGGCGGATTGGGAGTCGTTTAGGCAGAAGACTGTTTAGAGAACAGTTGCCTTTGGTTCATACTACATGTCGAAGGAGCAATGAGCAGGATAGTTTGTTTTTCGTCCTTGGGCTTCCTACCTTACCACCATACGGGCGTCCCAGTCGCCCTAGCCACACCACGAAGCTGTTCACTTCGGGTTCAGATTACATCTACGGTTGAATAGTCTCAATCGTATAAACGATCCTCTTTCTCGATGCCACTGGGCGGGCAACGGAGCAGCCGACCAGCCAATGGGTGACGGTCTTCCCTCGTCCGATTCCTCGCACTCCCGGCACGCGTCGTCTTTCTACAGTCCGATGCAGTGATTGTAGGCTCCTAGCAGCGTCTAGTAGCCGTTGGAAGGTCTAGCAGCTTCGACGTTCTTCTGGCGTGGAGGTTAAGTTCACACGGCGTGAGCCATTTTAGAGTAGTTAACGGGTCTTCTCTAGGGCTAGAGCCGTTTACACCAGTGCCTATGAGCGTGCGTCTGAGTCTGTATCTCGCCGACCGCAAAGCGCAAAAGTCTAACTCTGTACATGGCTCACTCTTGCGCTCGCTCGCTTGTTGTCCCAAAAGGCGTCTTGATGTTACTATGGTTCCAGGATCCCTGTAGCGTATCGGTAAACTTGCAGTGCTGACGACCCATGGTGCCTCGGATCGCTGATCCGTACTGTATCCAATTCCACGGCGCCAAAATTCCATTCCATCACTTTTCTTAAAATTGTTTACATTCGTTTGAAAGCATAATTACTACCACAGCAAGTCTTCCTCAAACTGACGGCCTGAGCTGGGCACCATGAGAGTGGACGCTTGGCTACGATTATGTGAGCATTATGCATTTTGGTGTGGCCCTTCCGAAGTGACGAGATTTTCAGCACTGAAGCCGAGAGCACTGCAGCTCCTCTCCTGTACGAGAAGAGGGCAAACATTTCAAGTCGGGCTATGTAGCTTGGAAATGCTCCTGGTTGAGGTCTCAACCCTGTGTGGTAGGGTTATCATCAGATTGGAGTCTTTTTTTTTTTTTGTCGGGAAAAACACGCTTGTCGCTTGTTGTTTGTCTTCTCCGTTGAAGCTCTTCTAATTCCTTGCTTTGCTGCTTGAAGGGCTCTCCAGTCACCATTTCTTTACCGTGTTTTCTTTTGTAATGAAAGCCATAAGCTAACAAGCGTGAAATTGTAAACGAAACGCAAATGCCTTAGGCTTAATCACTTCATGACTT